AGCATGGCACAGTACACATACACTACAGCATAGCTGAGTATATACATCATATATGATACATACAGTACAATATTCTATATGAAATATAGCATAGTACATATATAGTATATATGCATACTTAATAACGCTTTGAAGGACTTAAGAGTTTGTAAGAATATATGCATATAAATGTGTTGTTACGATAGTAATTTTATTTCATTTCATGATATCACATTACAAGCGTGGGTGTTCAAGTCATTAATGAGTCATACTTTGAGAGACAGTGTCGGAATGGAAAGGATTTTCAAATTTGCAGGTACTGTGTACGAAGTCTAGAGGAGACATAAAAGTTTACCTTCATAGCAGGCTAATTCCTCTAACGATGGAATTCATACAACTGTGCCTCAAGGCAATCGGGCGAGAAACTAGCAGCAAAGTTGCTGCCACTGAAACTGAGTCACATGATCATGCCACCTGATTCGTGCATTGTATAGCTGCAACTTGCCTCGATCTAGATGACAATTGACTACATACGCTTACACCCTTGTATCCCTAACATAACACACACTGAATAGTGGATTATACAACCTAAAATAAAATAATTTTTCATATACGATTTAATACTTTTAAATAAATTAGTCATAGAATAAGGTTAATCGAGTGCCCAACATGACTTACAACTTTCTTGGTTTGTTTCTGTAAAATTTCCGGTGACTGCTGAAAAGCGGGGATCATCGCGGCGTCGAATATACGATCACCATTCTGCTGCACTGGTTCGACGCCAACCGTCGTAGTTTCATCGTCTTTCAACTTCTTGGCAACTGAATACAACGCAGCTACCCACTGCTCCCTAAACAACAGGTTCTTCAAACCGTGGGAGTTACGAAGCGAAAATAAGTAAGTAATTTGTGAGATCAGCATTACTCGCAAGGCAGTGCGACGATCGAAGCCGCGCTGAGCACATCAGTTTCAAAATTAAGTTAACAATGGAAAGCACTCATTTCCATTAGAGTTTAAACAACGGCTACAAGGATTAACTGACGACTAGATGCTCTGCAGGTTCTACCTGCACATACGTGACCTCGCTTTTGAACTGAAAAAAAGTCGGTAAAAGAAGGGTCATATATCTGTATCCCCAGAGACTGTCATCTTGAACCGACTCTAGTTTCCAGCTGTCCAGTCGTCAACCGCACTGTCAGCTTTTTAACACTGTTTGTTACATTCGCAGAAGAAACTATTCGTATGTGAATGCAGCACTGCTTCAAACTTGTTCATCCATGTTGAATACTGTCCTCCCGCTCCGCCTGTGCCAGGAAGAAGATAGTCATTCCTTACGTATTCCTGCCTTTCAACTCTCATGCGTTGAAGCTAACGCTGTTGTACGCAGCTGAACCGTTGTTGCTGTTCTTACGTTAAAACAATTCTCTTCATGCTATATAACAACATTAATCTGATAGATGTCTGACAGCCAAAATGTCTGACAAATAACCAGAAGCGCTCGAAGTTCTAGTGATCCTCCTACTTAACTCTGGTTAGATAATGCGATCGATGGAAATGATGGAGCCGAGAGATTTAAACTGGCCAACCACCTCTACCATCCCACTAGTAAATCAACTCTCGGATGAATTTCTCGTAATTTTTGACTTCTGAGCATTGAAGAAGACGAGATCCTCTGCCATGAAGAAATTTTCTCACTGTGTTACTCACCAGAATAATATCATTTGCATACTCCAGGGCTGCAACATATCTATCCAGACACTTTGAGATGTATTACTGTCCTTTCAGAACCAAACCTTCCCTTGTGAGAGTCAGCACTGTTTCAGAAAAAAATCAGAAATAATTGTGAATAGCAAGAGCGAAAACATATATCCCTGGCAAACTCTACAGTTAGTACGGAACCAAGCGGATAGCAGCTCCCCTCCATCGACTTTCACAGCAGACAAGGCTCCAAGGAAAATCTATTCCCAAATTTTCAAGTGTCCCATAGCATTTAAGATTCAGCAGATAATTGTATGACCAACTGAATCATATGCAGGCATAAAGTAGATGCAGCTTGCATGCCAAGACAATTGGAAATCGTCGGAACTACTTAATGCTTGTACAAAAAGTGAAAATTTTGTTACGGAACAAGTATCCCATCTGGATTCTGCATGGAATCCTGCAAGTTTACCAATCGTTCATCGTTCTGATTAGATAAACGAGCACTAGCAAACAAGAAGGACACAGGAAGCAACGCGGCGTATTCGCCATACAACTAAATATTACCTTGAAAAAAAGCAAGGCGCTCCTTGACGATGTGTAAAATGGGGATTACTGTACCGTATCGCAAGATAAGCAAAATAAATGGAATCATAAATGACAATCAGCATGGAAATATAATTATATCAGTATTGAAAAGGTCAGAAACTTTGCAAAGGGAAAGTCATGGGTGATTTTTCTGAAAGTGAGGAAGATGGCAGACTTGGAACTGATATAGAAATTTATGGGTTCGATACAATCTACGAATTTTCACCTAAAGAACAAGGAATACTTGTACTTAGAAGTAAGAAAATTCATCATCACAGAAGCTATTGAATTTTGACTGGCCTGCAACAACCTTCTCTTTCAACAATCCGATGTCTACCTTTCTTCCGACGTTGCCGTACAAAACGTCCGTTCTATCACAGTAGTCCATTGTAAGCCACGAACGAGGAATGTATTCGGCCTCGGCCCCTCCACCTTCATCAGCTGACATCTCTTTACGGTGAAGTCATTCAACGGGTCGTTATACACACCGGGCGCCGGCTGCTGCTTGAAACCGAGCAATGTACCGTCGTCAAAAAGGACGAAGTACCGGGAACGCCAGTTTTTGATGTGTTCGCCTGAAATTCAAAATTAAATACATATGGTCATCAGAAAAGACAATGAATCACAGCACATCAATTTCTACAACCCTAACTCAATAATCTCTTTGAATTCGACCTGTCTGCTTCGATAGAACATTTATAAGGATTTGCTGAACAATCATGTAGAGCATGGCTGGGCAGCCTCGTTCAAGAGTTGTCCTAATGTACTTCTGAACCGTTTCGCTCCTGACGAAGACAGACAACGCACAGATAGAAATTAATAGTTTGTTCTCTACGCGAATGACTCGAATGATAAACTGACATTTTTCAATATGATTATCCAAAATGATAATCACCATACGGTGATGCCTAAATGAATAGGAATGCAATGACCGTTCGGTTCCAGTTCTGCATTTTGCTAAAAAATGAGAAAGACGTATTAACGTGTCAAATCGTCTTGAAAGCCTGCTCCCGGAACAGTCCGCAGGCGCCAGCCTGTAAAGCAGCAAGTCAGAGATACAGGGAAGGGAGGCTAGGGAAGTTCCTAATTCGGTTAATCAGATTTTCTACCTTCATGATTAGGTCAGCGGCATCACGACGACAATTTTTACGCCCTACATTTCTTTCGAATTGCATAAAACACTGATTTTTTTATTCCAGTCTGAAGGAGGCCTACAGAACAATGCATTGGAAACATTTCCACTGTTTTCTGTCACGAACAAGCTGCTGATGTTCCTTCCAGGGTTCGAGCATTTCACACGATTTGGCAACTTTAGTAGATCATTTTTTTGTCGTAAAGTTCATGTGTATCCTTGCAAATACTAAATCAGAGCCTTCATTGACAACTAGTTTCGTTCTGTAGATTATTATATGCACCTAGCACATATTTCAACATGTAGTCATAATGAATATGGATCCATCTTGTTTTTTAAGGAAATAACATGTGCTATTCACTATCGCTTAAGGTAAACGGTTTTGAGATATTCGTGTTCACTGATAAAAACATTGCTGCACGAAGCTACACATTGCCAGTGGACATGTATCACAGATTTTTACAGCATTAGGGTTATAATCACTGTTCGACTCTAGTTCTGCACTTAGCTGCCTCGCTCATGATATGATGCAAGTAAAAGAGGAGCAATAAGAGTTTCAGGCACGAAAATTTCTCATAAGCCTATCTCAAGTACATGTACGTGCTGCATTCCAAATCATACAGCAACACAGGCGGAGGAACAGAAAACTATTGTTGTATCAGTGGAAAAGGGATCTGCCGTTCTACCGAAAAAGCATGACCTACCCAACAACTTAACTTCGCCTTGAAGGCAATCTGTTTTCCACACCAAAGATTGAATACTACCCTAATAGTAGTAAACCGCATAAAAATCTTTTACATTTTATTTAGTGTTATTCGAACATTTTTTTTTGGCCTAACAAATAGTGCTGCTCCGCGTACATGTGTGTAGATGCAAAATTACTATGGAACCGTTATCTGCTTAAATGGTTCCCTAGGATACTAGGAAAATGAACACGGTGACTTAGGATACGGTGTTGACGACTATACAGTACTAATCAGTAAGTGACGGGAGATTCATTTGGGTCATTAATTGTCACCCTCAATCGAATTTTCTAATGTAGGTACTAGAAAACGAGCATGACTACTTTCAGATGCTGATCATTTGCTGCCAAAATAAATTGTTTTAAGATTTTACATGAAACTCTCTTTAACAATGAAGCTGAAAATTAAGGATATCACCTGGCAGGTCATTTGTGAATCTTCAGCTAGCCGTTGGTCAAAACGTATACGGATTTACATTCATCACAATAGAAATACATGTTTACAGTTTCCTAAAGCACACAACTGGACGCTCTGCACTAATAGGGAGAGTGGGGACGATGTGGAGCTGTTGTCTCTTAGGAGTTTCATTTCGGCTTGAGAAGCTACTAAACCAATGCACTGCAGAATTTTTCGACTGCAAACACTAGGGAAAGAACCGCCTTTCGTTGGACCAGAGAAACTTTAGACTAGGTTCCAAAAGAGAATATATACGGCCCTTAGAAAAATCTTAAGAATGATGACGCAGTGACTAAAAAAAGTTCGTTGAATTAAGATGGTTACAAATCGCAGAAAGCAGAAATTTTGGAGTCCGCCATCCAGAGGTGGATCGAAGAAGGCTGATGATGATGACTTTGTGCTGAATTTCGGACAGCAATCATTTGGGTCAAAAGCAAAAGTCAAGTGGACATAAACAACTTGGCCATAAACCTCGTACTTTGATAAGATCGCATCACATTGTCCGTACTGCTAAAGACCAACGACTTGCTACCTGACCGTCAGCTAGTTGTACGGAAGTAGAGGGGTAAATTCCTTGCTCAGCGGAATCAGCGGTTAAGATAAATTTTTCATTGTTTGGGATTCGAATCAGGTACCTCCGAAATTCGAAGCCGACTTCTTTTCCTCAGTGACCCGACTAGATCGAAGAACCTCATCCAACAATTAATCTAAAATGGCCCATTTTATAACCGCCACCTCTGACAGTACAAAGCCATCTACTTACACACCGCATCACTGCCTCTCCCTGACATATACTGCCAAAACATTTGTTGACAATCCACTCGGTTAATACTTTTTATACGTGAATGCTGAAATCTTCATTACGATGCAATTTGCTATTTTTGAATTTCGTGACCACGAATAACATCAGTAATAACTGAGATCCGACGGAAAGGTCGGTCAGTTAGTTCCGATGACCGCTAATCATTTCGGGTTGAGCAGACAGATTCGACCAGCAGTGCCACCAACATTCCCCATCCTTTGCCAACTTCGACGGAACATAATCCGAGTCTTTAGCAAAGACCTTTCGATACACTTGCCCTAGATTATTTTGGACATCATGGGGGTCTTCGACCAAGCTGTCCAGCAATTAGCAGTTATTTCGACTTCCTTTCTGGAAACACTTGTAATGCATCTATGACCGCTCAACTCTAAAAAAGTAATTCGTCCGAATGTTTACAATTAAAATACTAATCAAGTAGTATAAGTCAAAAATGAATAAAAAATCGTTTACGCAATCAGCTTGTGCACAATGGGACGCCAAACCTCTGTGAACCGATCAGGCTCAGAGTACAGAAAAGAAACCGAAACGTGGCATCGATCCATCACCCGAAAGACCGCTACATCGCGTTGTGTACAAGTAAACTTCAGCCGTAGTGTTTTACTAAGATCAGTATGAAGTAGAGATGAAGGGGGACAGTTCCATCTGATTCATTTAGCAAATGCAACGGCCGAAATCGATCGCTTTCAAGATTAACATTTTTTAAGGAATACGAGGAAAAAATATTTCCAATAAATGCGGCTGATGAGCTATTTTGCTGAACATCTGATAGACCTCAACAGATGATCACTAGAAGAGCAATGCCAACGTACACCAAACATAAAGCAGAATAAGATTATAATTCAAAACGCGTCGATACCGCGTTGTTTACCGAATTTGGAAACGCAAAGGAGCATCACTGATTCACCATCCTCTTCGGAGCGTCAGCCGCCGACGTTGCACAAAATAACAATCATTCACCCTAGTTGGTCTGATTTATGCGCTAAACTTATAGGTACAATAGTAGTGGCTTTTCAGTGTTCAACGCTTCCAGATTTCTGGTTGAAGGCAACAGTCAAAAAGAAAAACAACAACAACAACAGAAACAACAGAGGCTAGTCGGCTAGGGCGAAGTTTACGTTAGTATCGCTGGGTATAATTTACGACCCGGCCTTTGAGTTCGACTGATTTCACTTTTCTATCCTTCTATTTCCTTGGCGCAGGGACGAAGAGCGGATTAAAAACGACAAAGCAAAATTGTTAACCGGTAAACGCTGATGATGAGGCCAGTATGAGACGTCGAAATGCGTCGGTAAATAATGGATTGTAAGTGGTTCCTGTAAACATTCCTTGCCTTGAACCGTGGATCGAGAAATGAAGGTCATTACCACTATCATTCAAACAGACAACGTTTCGATCCCTCCTATCATAACATTTATAAAGGCTTTCGAAAATCAGCATAGGGTAGAGAACATTATTCAAAGAATGTGAAATCCTTGTGGCGAAGTGTTTAAAATTAATTTGGTCTTGGATTTTCTCCCGTTCTCGATGCCATAGTAAAGATTTATGTTTGCGTATTCTTGAGATATGGCTTATTCATATGTCTGAACCTTTCTGATATTGTTATTCTACGTGAAACTAGCAATTATATAACTTACTAAAAGCATATTTGCTGGAAATAAGGGAGATATTATATTCTTTGTCGAAACAGAAAGTTCCTTTTATTGCTTAAGGTATTCGGAAGAGAAATCATTTATGCATCATTAAATTAGAGCAAGACCGGTGTATTGAGCTGACCAACGTACTCAATATGATAAACACACCAACTACAACAGCAAACAACGTGAACGAGAAAAAGGATGTGTTCCCGCGTTAAGTGATGGGGATGATGAGTAAAATAAACGGCAAGAGTCAAATACCTCGTTTCAGAAGCCATCCTTCGTGAACCACTTGAGCTCCGGCTCGAGGACGGCAGGTCGCGACAAAAGGCGGATAGTGCATCAATATCAACAACAAACACCTAAAGTGGGCAGCAGTGAAACGGCGACTGTCGCGAACGCAAAACGTTCTGCAAACAAACCGGTAATCGAACTTTGTACAGACACGGAAACCGAGTGAGTGAACGCAACGCCTCCGTTCGACGTAAACTTCACTTTCCGCCTTCCGTCTGCGGTTAAGTCGTTGGTCACTGGTCAGTCAATGAACTTCCAGCGTTGTCACCGGTGGTCGACTGGGCTTCGGAAGAGCGTCGGAACTCAAAAGCGAACACCACCACCTCTTAAGCTGATCGACGTTGTTTATTCGCAGACCCTGCAGGACACAAGCCACGTTTCCGAGCCGCTGATCGACGCCTCCTAAAATGCGCCGTTTCATTTTACCGGATCTGACACCGCCGACGCATTCGACTCCGGCCGGCGGCAAACATCGCTTCGCTCCGAAGCAAGCCAAAAACTCTAGACTCCGCTCAATGCTTGCTGTGGAATTCCGGCGAATCCCTGAGCAACCATTAAGCAAGCACGCACTAAGTTCATATTCTTGAAATGTAAATGTTCGGTTTCAACTTTGGGCACATAAATGAATACGAAAACATTATTTCACGCACATTCTTTACTGTCAACACATAAAAACTCCACCGTAGCCTACAATATGACAGTAAAGCAGAAGATGGTAAGGTACAAATGTTTTCAACGTTCCGGAAAATTTGAAAGTTAGGAGACACTTTGAACGTTGTGTGCAAAATCCGAAAATTAACCCTCAATAAAAGCTAATAAAATAGCCAATTTTTCGATCCATGGTAAAGAATATTGAAGAAAAATTTCGCTCAAACCTTCTGAGGCATTTGTGTACTGGTGCAGCGATTGCACCAATTTTTTCTGATCTGTTCTGACGCAATCGATCGATTCATCGTTGATCGACTGTTACCTCGATTTTCATGAGATGACAGATACTTTTGCGCTGCTTTACTAGTCACACTTTATACAGATTTAAACTTGAGTCACAGAACGAATAACTAAGCGAAGTAAGGGAGAAGCGCAATGCCTTAAGGATGAAACCAAAGAGGCGAGAGTATTTTCTTTAACAGTCAATACCCTATTCAAATACTTTGAAACATTGATTTAACGAGAGGTTAACATTGAAATAGTTATTTTCAAGTATACTCTTAAAAGGTTTCTAAGCTTCATACTTCTGAGCAAACCAACAGGGAAAGAAGAACCTGTCTAAGTAAACTTTAAAAGCGGGTAATGTCATGAAATGTTCCGTGATAGTGGTTAAGGAAAGCATTATGTTTTTCAGAATGTTACCTTGTGAACAGTGTCTAGCATGTTATTGCTGAAACTGACAGAAAACT